CACCCCCGCCCGCTCCGGCCGGGGACGTCGAGGCCGGGTGGGCTGTCGCCTCCGCCGTGGCGAACCCGCTTTCAGGTCCCCGCTGGCCCGAACGCACGCAGGCGACAAAGCGGGTCCTCTGATCCCCCCCGCGCCTGACTTTTGCAAACTTTTGACATTTCCTTTCGTTTGCACAACGTGTACCCTCCCTTCCCAGCAGATTTTTTTCTCTCCGACCGAAGTGCATTTTCTTCGGAGCATTTTTCATAACTCTGACATAATTGGAGACATCTGGTCTTGCCAACTTTAGTTGGAAATGCTGGTAATCGGGCTGTGACCCTGAAGGAAAAAAGTCGGTGAGAGAGAATAGTCAGTCGGTCTCCCCTTGTGAATGGGGACGCCCCCCAACACACACACACACACACACACACACACACACACACACACACACGGGCCACGCCCCTGGCTCCCTCCTCACAGCCTCCCACACAGTGGAGCCTGGGCACACTCCCCAGGTTAGTGGCTGAGGCCAGGAACAGTGCCCGCCACCCAGTGCATCCCCAGGTATGTGTTTCCTTGAAGGTGAAGGAGGGGGAAGAAATGGCCGAAGTCGCTGGAGTCGTGCCTTGGCAAATAAAACAAGGACCGTGTCCTGTAAGGATGAAAGTCTGTAGACCTTGTGGGACTTTGTTCTGGGCTTCGGCCACTTGACCTTCTGCGCCCCATGGCAGCGGGACACGTGCCCGGCACAGGAGTCTGGCAGTCGCGTGGCCATGCGTGGAACAGCCAGACCAGCAGCCACGACTCGCTCTCCTTGCCCGGCAGATAAAAGGATTTGAAATATTTACCGTTTCTGCAATAGTGGTCATTACACGGAAAATAGCACCCGGGGGCCACTCCGAGTTCCTTAAAAAGGACGATAAGAAACGCTCCAAGAAAGCGGTATGCAGTCACTTGGGCAAGAGCTGACTCTCCAGTAGAGACTCGGCTATAGGTTTCTTGGCAAGGATGACTTCTTAGAAGCCTCTGGTGACCCTATCTCTTGCCCCCCTGTTGCCTGGTGTGATGTAGGGTCGGTGGCAGCTGTTGCTTTCCATGTGTCTGTGACAGAAATAACTCTTCTAGTCACTCACCACAAGCCTGACCAGTGGGAGCTTTCGCAACAAGAAAATGTCACAGACTGTCCCCACCAGAAAGGCGCTGTGCCTGCAGTCCGAGGGAGGTGCCCGCTTGTGAGCTAAACCCTAGACATCTAATTTAAAAGAAGAAGTGAAAATGACAGACCTCTGGGTGCCTGAAAGGGTTATTCTGCCTTAGACTGGCTGTAAAAATGCGATTGGTTGTTACTTGGCACGGCCAAAGTGCAGTGGGGATGTCTTCTCTCTCCATCCAGTGCATGTGTTATTTTGGCTGAAAGGACGTGAGCAGCACATCTTTCCAGAGCAAAGATGGAGCAACAGGGTCCGGTCAAGAGGGAAGGGGTAAGTGCTGCCCAGGGAGGGGGCATGGAGCAGCCCCCGGCCAGGGCCCTGCAGCATGGTTGTTACTTGGCACGGCCAAAGTGCAGTGGGGATGTCTTCTCTCTCCATCCAGTGCATGTGTTATTTTGGCTGAAAGGACGTGAGCAGCACATCTTTCCAGAGCAAAGATGGAGCAACAGGGTCCGGTCAAGAGGGAAGGGGTAAGTGCTGCCCAGGGAGGGGGCATGGAGCAGCCCCCGGCCAGGGCCCTGCAGCATTTTAGGAGTTCACCCAGCAGCTGAGCTTTTACGGGGACTGGAGAGAGGAGACATTCAGAGACATTTAGATTTAGAGATTCTTTGGGAATCATCCTACAGGACCAGCCTTTAAAAATACCTGTTCCCAAATCGAAGACTCAAAGGGTTAAACTGTTCCAATTTCCTTCATCGAAAGAGACTGAGTCTACAGCCATGCAACCCTAAACAGGCCTGATCTCGCCTGATCTCGGAAGCTAAGCAGGGCCGGGCCGGGTTAGTACTTGGATGGGAGACCACCTAGGAAAACCAGGTGCTGTAGGCGTAAAAAAGAAAAAAAGAAAGAAAGAGATTGAGGTGAAGGGTTTCCAAAAACCGGCAACGAAATCCTTGGACGTTGCTTGTAAGATGTTTTTTGATTTGTTTTGATTTTGGTTTCAGAGTATTTTAATTAACCTTTTCAGCAAGGAACATAGCAAAGCTAGTATGAAAAGTAGTTAGACTCAGAAAAGGTGGTGCAAGATTTGAATGTAATTTAAATCTGCAACAGAGATTCCCTGTCTTTCAGATGATGAGATGCCCTTTATTTTAGTAACGAAAGATTTTTCTGAACCTGCCATTCTCCTTTTAGAATCTCTTGATTGAGGAAAATGCGTAGAGACAGAAAGATGATGTGAATTTATTAACGCCTTCCAGAAATTTGTGTTTTATTCATCACAACAGCATCTGCTTATATTTATGGGGGAAGAAGTACATATTTGGGTAAATTATTATTTATTCAATCATGGACGTGAGACCCTTGCCATAGGCAGGTTGGGAACATGCTCTGTAGCTCAGAGATTAAGAGCGAGTTTGGGCAAATCATTTAACTGCTCTGTACCTGTGTTTTGGTAGAATTCCTGTGAAATGGGTATAATAACCATACCATCTGATAGTGCTGCTGGAACAATTAAATGAGACGATGCATGTGAATTACGTGGCACCTAGCGAATTCCTCATAAATGTTCTTGCTTTTCGAGCATCCTTTAGGGCAGGGCAGTGGGGGGCTGGGCTGTGTGTCATAGGATGTTTAGCAGCATCCCTGGTCTGTCCTCACTAGCCGCCAGTAGTACTCCCGCCTCAAGGAGAATCACTGCATTAGAGCAGGGGTCCCCAGCGCCTGGGGACCAGGTCCAGGGCCTGTGAGGAACCGGGCCGCACAGCAGGAGGTGATCACCTCAAGGAGAATCACTGCGTTAGAGCAGGGGTCCCCAGCGCCCGGGGACCAGGTCCAGGGCCTGTGAGGAACCGGGGCTGCACAGCAGGAGGTGAGCGGCGGGTGAAAGAGCGAAGCTTCATCTGTGTCTGCAGCCGCTCCCCAGCTCCAGCATCCCCGCCTCAGCCCCTCCTCGGATCCTCAGGCATTAGATTCTCACAGGAGCGCCGGTCCCGGTTGCCAAAAAGGTTGGGGACCACTGGTTTAGAGATTTCTAAGTTCCTTCCCCCGGACTATCTTGTTTGACTTGCACAACTAAAGAAGTGTTAGACAAGTCAAGTGTCATTCCCTCTATTTTATAGAAAAGAGACTGGGAGGTAAACTTAGGGGTTTTGGGGGGGGGGGCCAGGGGGGGTTCTGATCTGGTCTGTGCCTCCTCTCCAAAAAGGAATGCACAGCCTAGCTGTGACTCCCCAGGTGTGGCTTCAGAAGCATGGACGTGCGGTACGTGGTGGTGCCTGAAAATGAGCAATACATTTTGAAAGGAAATGATTAAAATGGTCACACGCAGCTGACCACAGCTACCCGCCCCCTTGGATCTGTGGGAAAGGAACTTACAGTGCCCAGGGAGGGCCAGGCTCCCCCTTCCTGCCTCCTGAGGGCAGACCCTGCCCCCGTGGGTACGTGCTGGGCGTGTTGGGCGTGTTGGACATGTTGGGCGTCCTGGGAGACATCAAAACAAAACTATTCCACTGGCGACTACTTGTAAGAGTCTGCAAATCATTAATCGAAGCTGAGGGAGGATTTGGGAGCCAAGGAAAAGTGGAAGGGCTGGTGAAGGCTGCAGGAAGTGGGGCTGTGCTCCCAGGGGCTGCTGCGGCCCGCGGATTCTCTGTCCCCTGGTGGTTGTGTGACTCTGGCCTCACTGGCCTTTGGAGTCCTCATATGTAAGGAGAAAAAAATCTGACTGATGTGCGCCAAGGACTTTCTGCCAGGAAAGAGGACTCTTGGCCCGAAAGAAAAAAAATAAAATGCGTTAGGAAAAAGAGAGCCTTGGAAAATGAAAACACATACTTTTTTTGCGGCCGTCCCTACCATCAGCTAGTTCAGTGTTGCTGAGCAAGTAACTTTCCCTCCGGGTCTTCATTGTTAATAATTGATAATGACAGCAAACCCGGCTGGAAGCGTTTTATATGTATGAACTCATTTATTCTTCACATCGATCCCGTGAGAAGGGCAGTGTCATTGTCTGCATTTTGCTGGTGAAGGAACTGAGACACAGGGAGTTCAGTAATTGGCCCAATGCCACACAGCCAGCAGCAGGAGGGCCAGGGCACCCCGCCCCGCCCCCGCCCCACCCCCAGGGATGACACAGAGCACCCAGCTCTGAGATGTTTCTCTCTCCTCTCTCCCCTTCCGCGTAGACCTCAGCGTCTGGGTTCCGTAGTGTGATAAAGTGACTTAAAGTGTTGATAATTCATAAGAACTCACGTTTCCAGGGATATTTACATTCTGGCTGGATATTCCCGACAAGGAAAGTCTTACACGGAGGATGTCTCTCTGATGCTGGAAATGGCCTGCGGAGACGAATTCCTAAGGGAGATGCTTTGGGTGGGGCTCCCTTCCCAGTGTCCTGAATCACATCCTGTCAGATCGCCAGCTCCGAAGATGGTTATTTCACTGAAGTCTCAATGTTTTCAGCATTATGAGAAACAGGAAGCCAGTTTACCACGGGCATGAGGCATGGGGTTTCTTGTTTCTCCCGAAAGCACAGCTCAGGACCACAGCTGCCTTTGGCCTCTGAGGAGAGCCCCCTCCCATTTATGCCTCTAGGCCACTGGGCCACTTGTCATTTTAAAGTTAGTAGGAGACCTCGATGTCCTCGTTGGCCTCTTTCTCTCCCTCAGTACCAAATCAAAAAAAAAAGGAAGAAAGGAAAGGAAGGGAGGGAAGGAAGGAAGGAAGGAAG